GTTTTCGACATATTTAACATGAAACTATATGTCCAGTAAGATACTGTTTTTTTAAAGGCAGTATATAAAATGATATAGTACCTCACTTCTGTGTGTTCACAAATACATGACAGATTAAAAGAAAACACATCAAAATGTTCTAATACTGTTTATTTCCAAGTGGTAGGATTACAGGTAATTTTATTTCCTATTTATAAATTTAGATATTTATTAAGTTTTCTATCATGAATATGCATCACTTTTATGATTAGAAAAGCTACTGAAATAAATCCATTGCTTTGACAGATTATGACTGAATAGTTTTTACACTATACTGATACACAGTGTTAATTCACATTTCATCCAAGTGACTTCTTACTGATAACACCTTTACATTTTTTGTTGACTTTATAATGGATAAACAAGAACTATTCTCAAAAGTTTCATTATTTAAAACTACAAATTATCCAGCAACTTTTATACATATCTAACAAAACTGCTAAAGAATATCAAGATAATCTTGAAGAAAAATAACAGCAAAAATTATCTCTAAGGTCTCCCAATTTAGAATGTAAAGGGAAGGCATACTACTTTTTCTAGTCCTAATTATATAATCTTCCTAAACTAGAAAAATGCTGTTATTTAATGAATGATATACAAACAAATGAAGCTTTCTCTACTTTGTTTGCATCAATCAACCTTGTGACTAATGTATTATTTAAAAGACCAAATTCTCACATTATATTCTATACTTCCAAAAAGAGTTTCAAATTCAATACTGATATTAATAATTTTCCAAGTTCCTCTTAACTGCTACCTAGGAAGATAACACAAAATAAACACTTTATAAATAACTACTTAATGCTTTTATTTTTCAACTTCAAACAGCTACAACACAGCTGGCTGTCCTAAAACTATTAAAAAGAATAGGTCTAAGTGCAAGGAACACTTTAATGAGTTTGCTACACCTTACTCCAGAAGTTCTCTGTAAGAAAATACTAAAGAATGAAAAACAAACTTACAGTTAATTCCCCACCCTGTGTGATTTGCAAGACTATAATTCAGCGTTCCTGTATGTATATAGTCCAGGTAGTTTTAGGCAACAATTAGTTTCCCTAAGGAAGAGAAACCTATTATGAAGATCAAAGCTGTTCCCCCAAATCTGGCAAATATTGTATGTAGCTGGAAAAACAGAAACATTAATGGTCCCTATTTGTCATTAAGTTCTTGTACTCTTAAATACATAAAAAATAATCTTAAAACTTAAATCTCTTACTACTGTTAGTCACTTTATAGGTTTCATGTAACGGTAACTTCCGCATCATTCCCTGTCCACGCCACACAGGTAGAACTCTGGTAAACTCATCTAGAATTATGGAGCGGACATCACAATCAGAAATTCTTTATCATGGTTCGCATACTTCTATAAACTAAACTGAAGCCATTTCCAGATCACATTCTATAGGCAATTACTTTCAAAATGTGTCTTAACTCTGAAGGCTAAGCCAATTAAGGCAAATCAGAGAGGCTAGCATTTCCATTCAAATATACACCCTCCCACCCAATCAATCTTTCCGAGCTCATATGGACAAAACCCTGGACAGTACAGATGGTGAGGAATGGCTTTTTCAGAGATAAGGACAAAAGGTTCATCTGACAGCAACTAATCCTACATAGTGGAACAAAAGCTCAGGAGTGAGACACATGGCAACATCAAGGAAAGAAGAGCAGGAACTTCTTGGGGCAGCATTCTCTGGTCTAAATCCGTATTGTTTCCAGGAGGTTGACAACTTATAGCCTCCTTCCTTAAAGTTTTGTGGCCCTTGCTATTTTGGATACCCAAAAAACAAAAAGATGTTTAATGATATATATATATAAAATACGCAATGCACTGCAGGGAAGCTTAAAAACTGGGATAAACTTTTCCTCCATCAACAATGTGTAAATAAAATCCCTTTTTGTTTTCCACCTTAAAAAGAACCAATTTCTCTTGAAGTCTTATGAAAAGGTCTACTTAAAATGTAAGTTTTGCATAAAACTGTTATGGTGTAACTTCTATTCTTGTGAACAATGATGAAAGTACACTTAAAATATGCACTCAAAACATTACAAAGAACCTGAGTCTACTGATGGGATTGTATCTAGAACAGGCTTACACAACTATAAAATATCCTGTAAGTTCACTTACCACTCTATTTTGCAATGAAAACAAAACAATCCTCAAACATATTTTTATGTTTTACACATCAATTTTATAAAACAGAATCTGAAATGAGCACTTCAGATCTTTGGTTAAACTATAATTTCCCTTAAATTACAGTAACTATATATCCAAATGATAATGTAAAATACAGTCTTTGTATGTACATATGTACACATACAAACAATATTTTTTCTTTATGAAACACTATTTACTACTTCTGACTACCAATTTATGCAGACTACAGTTACACAAAAGACCACTACCTTGGAATAAAAGAAAAATTTTGAAGGTCTATACTCATTTATCAATGGGAAATATCATGCACTGAGGCATATCGCTATCCTTAATGAAGGCTCAAGGAATGATGACTTATAATCTTATATATTAACAAACTATAATGGTTCTTTTCATTGGGAACTACTTATGATGTTAATAATTATAAAATAATAAAAATTCTATGCTTTTAAAAATTAACAGATATTAACTACTGAATATCAAACACTAGTCATAAACTTCATTAAAGGATTTTAGAAAAACTTAGAAGGCAACAAGTTAGAGAAAGGGTCCAAATTAGCTCATAACCATATGCTACTTAAAAAAATAAGTCAGGCCCTGGCCGGTTTGGCTTAGTGGTTAGAGCGTCGGCCTGCGGTCCTGAGAGACCAGGGTTCGGTTCCCGCTAAGGGCATGTACCTTGGTTGCAGTTTGTCCCCGGCCCTGGTCGGTTGTGCGGGTGGCAGCCACTCGATGTGTTCCTTTCACATCGATGTTTCTCTCTCTCTCTCTGTTCCTCTCTCTCCCTCCCACTCTACCTGAACAAAAAATGGAAAAATGTCCTCGGGTGAGGATAAAAAAAAAAAAAAAAAAGTCAGTTTCAGTATCACATAATATTAAATTCTTCGGCTAAAGGAATAATAAAATTCTCTCCCAACAATACAAGATCCAGAAGCAGTGACCTTGGTCTTTCAAGCTATGTTGATACATCCCAAGTCCCTAAAAGAGTAAAAAGGTCTACTAAGTACTCAGTACTTGTTGAATGAAGGAATGGGAGAACAGGTAGGAACAAGCTAATCTATAGAGATCAAAGAGTTGACAATACATAGATTAAGGTACAACCAGCTAATCAAAATATTAACTTGAGTTGATGTCAAATGGGAGCTATTCCACATTTTAGTAATAATCTGAAATAGAACTCAGGTTCCAAGAATAGGAAACTGTTCCTAGAAAACTTGTTGCATAAAATTATTTAAAATACTAAACAATTCTAAATTCTGCTAAAAAATGGTCAGAACTGATTTAGAACAACCAACAGTACTCATAAAACTCATAAACCCAAGTTCATTGTTCCCGTACATGGGAAGACATGCTAGTGGACTGCATTAGTGCTCTTTTGTCAGCATTTCTCCCTTGGTAGTTTCTCACACTTAGAAAAAAAGGTCAAAATTTCAAAATGCCTTCAAAACACTTAATTCTCCTGAGTATATCCCACCTTGTTTACATAATTCAGGAAGTCTCCAGACACTGACATTAGCATTTGTTACTACAATTTCATAAGTCTGCATCAGGTATAGTATTTTAAATTTTAAGAATTCAGAGAGGTCACATTCTTTGGTTGAGTTTCTTAGCTACCTACAATTATTTCAATTATTTTACTAATAAAGTCTTTCTTCACTGCAAACACCACTTTAAAAAAATCATGCTTTAAAAAGTGAGTATAAGCCCCTTTTCCTCCTTACAGGTTATGTGTCTATGATTCTAAGAAAGAAAACCCAAGATCTTTCTCTAGATTTATTGTTGTAAGATCTCCTGTTCAATTGCTAGTCTGTCTATCTTGACATATACGTGTTACTGTAGCGACACGAGCAAGTATGTCCAGTTTCTCTGTTACTCCAGTACATTTTAATTGCTTGCCACTGACTATCTGAATCAGATATGACATCCCAAGTTATACCCTATATACTAAACACCGCAAGCGTATGACTCAACGTAATGCTAAAAAGAAAAAGTTTCTGGACAGAATACGTTTGCTGTCAATAACACCTACACTACAGAGTCAAGCAGCCCAGGGTGGTGACTATTCATCCTTCTGGGCTTCCAGGTCTAAGAAATGGAGAAGCAAGTGTCCAGTGTGTTCCCGCTTGCTTCTCCTGGCCCTCCGACGGGCGGGGAGGCAATTCCTGCACAACAGAGTTTGTGAAGTGCTTTGAAAGCTTGGGATGAAAGGTGCTATAAATACACCTGATGTTACTAGTCTATTACTACCGAGCATTACGTGGAACCACTGTCACTGCGCCGAGGGTAGGCTGACGGCACAGCGCTTCCCGAGGAAGGGAAGAGAGAGGACAGTCCCCTTCGTCACCCGCAGGGCTCGGCCGGCCGTCATTTAGACTGGGGTATTTTGTTGTTAAGCGAAACCACACGTGAGAAGTTACACGCAGTCCCCATCCCCGCAGGCCGAGGAGTCCCGGGGACCGAGCGAGGAGAGGAGTACTGGGGCTGGGCCTACACCCTAGTAATGTGGGGAGGTGCTGGGACCGGCAAAGGGGCCCCGGCCGCAGCCGACGCCCGCGGGGCGGCGGGAGGCGCAGCTCCGGGCGGGGGCGCGTTGCCGGGCCCGGGCGCGGGGAACGGCCCGGGAGGGCGGCCGAGCCGGGGCCCCGCGCCGCCCCGTTGCCGGGAAGGCTCGCGCCCCGCGGCCGGCGGCGTGGGGGAGGGGAGGCCGGGCCTGCGGCCTGTTTGGGGAGTTCAGCCCGGGCCTCGCGTGCGGCTCTCGGCGGGGCCCCCAGCCCCGGGGTCCCGGTGCCGAGGAGAGACTCACCGGAAAGGCCCGGATCCGCATCTTGGTGTCCTTCCGGCTGCCCGTGCCTTTGCTCAGATTCGACATGGTGCTCGTCCCCTTTCCGGCGGCGGCTGTGGGTCGCACTCCGAGGCGCCGGTGTCACATTTAAGGCGGGCGGGCAGGCGAGGAGCGACGCTGGGGGCGGCGGCGCGGCCCCCGGGCTGGGCTGGGGAGCTGGCCGGCCCCTGGGCGGCCGCGGCGGGGGCGGCGGCGGCGGCTCGGGCTCCGGCGGCTGGGGCTCGGCTGGGGGGCTGCGCTGGCGCGGCTGCTCCGCGGAGTCCCCCTCACGCCCGGCTCAGCTCCCTTTATCGCGCTCCTCCGCGATGGCGGCGGCGGCGGCGACGGACAAACATCTCACTGCGCAAGCCGAACGTCCTCCTCCTCCTCCTTCTCCTCCTCCGCCTCAGCGAGACGAGATCCGGCCCAGAGGGTGGAGGGGGGAGGAGGGGGGAGGAGAGCCGGAGAGTGGAGATTGGGGGGAGGGAGGTGGGAGGACGGGAGGAGGAGGTGGACGGCCGCCGCTGGGAGGAGACGCTCAGGTCTCGCGAGAAGAGGGCTAGCGCGCTACCCCGGGTGAGGCGGGGCGAAGCCCGGGGGCGGAGAGGCCGCGGGAGGGGAGGAGGGGAACGGGGAGTTGGGGAAGGGGGAGGGACCAGCGGGCGGGGAGGAGGGGAAAGGGGCGGGGCTGAGGGCGGGAGGAGTAAATTGTCTTTTTGAAAGGGAGCGTCAGAGACCGGGTTCTGGGCGGAGGTAGTTGCTGATTGGTAGAGCGTGGAGCGTGTTGGGGGGCTCCTGGTCACGTGGGCAGAGTGGGCGGGGGAAGTTTGGAGAGCCTCAGCTGACTCTAGTGGGCTGGGTCCCGCTGGGCTGGGTTAGGGCGGGGGCGGGGGCTGAGGCTGAGGTTGGGGCGGGAGGATAGTCTCGGGGAGGAGCGTGGGGTGCAAGGTGTATAGAACTGGTTCCTAGTTTTTTCTAGGGCATGTGGTCTAGGGATGGGTACTTGAACAGAAGCCAGAAAGTTGAGAGAAGAGTTTGTGCAAGAGTCACCTGAAATGTCAGAAATGTATTGGAATTGGATGTGCACACCCCAACTCCAAGACTGAGGGATGGAGATACTAATCCACAAAATGTCCTTAAAACTACAGAAGCTCCAGGGCCTCTTGAATCCCTGATATTCTCTGAGGGACCCAGGACTTCTTAGTCTTAAAATTTCTTTTCCTTACCAAAAAATAACAACTCCCTTAATGTAGTGCAATATTGTGGTAAATGGTGTTAAATAGAAAATAGGATGATAGACACCTATATTTAGTCTAACAATCATTTTTACGACTACCAAGAGTATTGTAGGTTTTCAAAACACAAAATTGTCTTTGATTAAATTTGCTGCAAATTTGGAATATCTTTTTCTATTGTAGTCAAAAGGTCTAATTTGATGCATTAGTCTTGAATTTTACTTTCTAATTTGCATGTTTGCCCCAAAGATGTTATATTTAGATTTCTAATGCTGCAGATAAATATGTGAGTTCCCACTAAAGTTTGTGATCTCATTTTAAGTACGAACCTACCCTTGTAAATGGGTATCTATATTTGGAAGCTGGGGTTTTAATGCTTTAAATTAGCATTTGGAAGCTGGAGTCATATATATATCTTCATGTAAACGGAAATATACTTTTCTGTTTGTTTACTACAAGGTTGAATTTCCCCTAAATTGACTTAATCTTGATGACTAAATTTAAGTGTATGCTTTCATCCCTTACTTGATGGAAATGCCCCATTTGAAAATGTATTTTGTTTTGTTTTTCATTACTGTATTAGCCAATCAAAACATGAGCTTAAGAAATGAGGATGTTGCTTGAAGCAATGTCTGTGTAAACACTGAAGCTAAAAATAGGTCATCAAAAACTGGGTTGATAAGGTAAGATTGGGAGGGGCTCTGATTTAAATATAAGGTAATATGAGTCTTGGATAGGAGTTTAAATCTGTATGGTGATTGAACCTCCATTTGTACAGTCATTAGACTACAACAGCCAATGTTTTTAAAGATTGTACTGTCATATGGCCCAGTTTCTTTAATATAAGAATATATGTTGTGGAGCCATTGGTTTGATTCTTAGCTCTGCTACTTTGTTATGTGTCTTTTGGGACAAGGACTTTATTGTTTGTGTTTCATCTGTAAAATAGGCATAATAATACTTCCTTCTTGGGCTGCTATGAAATTTATTTAATACATTTAAAAAACCCTGAGAGCAGTGCTCAACATAGACTAGCCACTCATCACCTGTTGCCTATTGTTATTATGGATAATTAAAGCCAAAATTATACTTTCTTCCTTTATTCAGTATGTAAGTTTCTAAAAAAAAAAAAAAAAAAGCTTATGTACTTTTATAAAATTAATTTTATTTTAAAACTGAGCTAGTCTTCAACACCTGGATTTCACAAATAAATAAAATATTTTCAAAAACCTGGGGAACCAATACAGGTTTCCCCAACTTTATTTTGGCAAGTAAGGGCATTGAAAAGGAATAACTGGCATAAAATAGGTCCATTATCTTTATTTATTTACTATTTTAACCACATAAATTGGGGTAGGTCAATTTTTAAATAAAGGACAATTTCTTAAATTGATTAATTTAGCCTTATGAAGAACAATACACAGCTGGTATCTCTCATTTCACTGCGAACCTGAGAAACCATTATGGGCCAACATTTAGGAACCCTCTACATTAAGGCATATTTTCATGTAATTGTGACGCATATAATCACCCTTTATTTGTTTTGTGAACACAAATTTTTCTGTGTTGATTTTCTTTACATAAAGTTTGACTGCATTTAAAAGAATCATTATTGCCCTAGCTGGTTTGGTTCAGCGGTTAGAGCATCAGCCCATGGACCAGAGAGTCCCGGGTTCGGTTCCTGCTCAGGGCACGTACCTCGGTTGTAGTTTGTCCCCGGCCCCAGTTGGGGTCGTATGGTTGGCAACCACTCGATATGTCTCTCTCATGTCGATGTTTCTCTCTCTCTCCCTCCCAGTAAAAAAAAAAAAAAAAAAAAAAGACTCAATATCAACTATGTCTTCCAGTAGGCTTTTAACCACAAAGACCCAAAAAACTCTTTAAAATGAATTTGTTTGCCACTGTCATTAGAAATCTACTGCTCATTTATTTGTTCAGTAATTTTTTTCATTTATTAAATATTTATTTAATGAATGCTAAGGTGAATAAGACAGATGAGACCTTCCATCACAGAACATATACTTCTTTTTCACATTTCACAATTTGGAAACCACAGTCCCAAGTTGGATTTGATAACAACTGCCTATACACTCCGTTCCCGAAATCAGAGATGTTTTTTCTTCCTAGGAAACCAGCATCCTCAAAATGTATGTGAAATACTCTCTGAAGCAGCAGCAGACTATTCTCCTATGCCAACTGATATCCCTGACTTGCAACTAGCAAATTAACTTTCAGGATGTTCGTTTTTCTGCCAACTGCCACCTGATCTAGCAGAGAAAGCATTGTTGGAATTGGAACTCACTAGATGTTGCATGCCTGGTTGGTATTCCTACTTATGCTGACGGTGTCCTGACACAGAACAGTGGCCCTATTTCCATGCATTCGCATGGAGAACGTGCAGTCAAAAATGGGAGGCTGAGTAAGCCAGTCCCTGTTCTACATCTCAGTCTAGAACTGGACATTATGCACTGTGAGAAGCCAGTGAAAGGGAATAGCCTTTTCTTGGCCATGAGTTTCTAGGTATCCAGGATACCAAGCCACTTTAATCACTGTATCAGACCTGCTGATTTGATTGTACTGATATTGGTTATTAAAACAGCTGACAGCCTACCAATTCACTTACAAAGACCTGTTCAAAGGTTTTGAATAGACAAAGACTGTTAGGGAAAGATGTATGTTTCTCAAATTCGAAGAGGGAGATTTATAGATAATATCAGTTCCGTGAAAGTAGGAGTTAGATTTTCTACTTTCTTACTTGTCTCCACCAGGCACCTAATAAGTATTGTAGGCCATTAAATTTGTACATACTTAGAGTAGTAGCATTCGTATGTGCTTTATAAGATGACATGTTAGAGGAGTATCTCATTGAAACATAACAACAGACACTTACATATTCAAAAACTGTAGTAGGTCATCTCCATGCCCCTTTTCTACTTACTATTTCCTTACATATATCAAAACAAGAAGCATATAAGACATAAGAGCATATGAGACACGTTACATCTTGAATTAAAGAAAAATCTTAAGATGTATATTATAAAAACCCATCTCAATTTTTTATCACAGCGTCGAGCTAAATAAAATCATCTCACTTAGCTCTGGGAGCTTTCTAGTCAGCCTGGACAGTGTTCTGTTTATTCCCCATTTTTCCAATAAATTAATATTTTAGAAATAAAAATATATAATCAACTAACCTAATATAACAGAACATAACTCTTCAATTGAAAATTATAGCCTTGCATCCATGTAATTTTATTTTGAAGAGAAAGAATTTCCTTTTTTTGATAATAGTAACCATATCAAGAAATCCCCAGGGAACAATTACGAATACATATTGCTTTCATTCATGACAAGGAAAGTGTATCTTGACATAAATTATCAGTTCTATCTTTGTGAAGTAAGTTAATTTTAGAGTTGAGATAAAGCATGGTTCCAAAGAACTATAAAACTAAATAGTCTGAATTTTATAGTAGATTTAGTAATTGTGTGAATTATAAATACAACAGTCAACAAATGTAACAAAATAGTATTAGCTTTAAACTTGAATAAGCTATTTGTCTTTAGTTCACAATAAAACTGTTTTTTCTTTTTATATCTTGAACTAGTGAAAATAAAAATCTGATTAAAGCAAAGGATTACTGGAAGAAATTTAAAATAATCTTTAAGAGACTAAAAAAAATTGTTGGGGCCAATTTCTAACCCCAAATCAATATAATAAGTGATTTTCTAGGGATGTCTATTTGTAGTTACTGGTTTGTGAATCTTCTACTTGAGTGGCTGGTGATTGGGGCAGAAGACCCATTAAATGTGCAGTTCTAAGAAAGGTGCAACACAAACACCTTGTTAGGATGAAACCAACAAGTTTATATTTAACCCAGTTAAAGAACCTT